GCAAACTTTTGATGACTAAATGAGAAATGGGAGACGTCTCTACTAGTCGACTTGCGTAGCCTAATATTTGAATTTTGTGCAAAATAAAAATGACACTGTCAAGTAACTATTGAAACTTATTGACATTAATTTCCAAATATCATCTTTCTACGACGAAGTGTATTTTCTCTTTCGCTATTTGCATAATCCTATTATCTATGAAGCCCAATGTACTAAGCTTATAAAAACATTATGTTTACTAATAAATAAATATTTCCCAGGACACAGATATAATCCACGCGTGGTTAGCGGACATACAGATGGAGGAATACGCGCGACTGTTCATAGAAGCGGGCTACGACTTGCCAACAGTGACGCGGATGACTCCCGAGGATCTAACAGCCGTCGGTATCAAGAAACCTAACCACCGCAAACGGCTCAAAGCAGAGCTCGCTAACCTCAACGTGCCGGATAATCTGCCCGATTATATTCCGGTTAGTGTAGACTTTGTTTGACTGCGATTATAAATAAAAGTAAACCAACCCGCACTTGGCCAGCGTGGTTGACTATGACCTAATCACCCTTAATTTAGGGTAGGCTCCAAACCCCTCGGTGGGGACGTATAGTGAGCTGATGATGATAATGAAGATGTTGCGATTATTAATTTACCAATTAGTGACTTTCTAGCCTAGTTTCACCTTTGGGTCCCGGATTAGATATCCGAAACCTTATAATGGGTTAATCATAAAGAGGCTAGTAATAATATTATGTTCCTACTTCCAGGGTTCGTTAGAGGAGTGGCTGCGCCTGCTCCGACTTGAGGAGTACGGACCAGCGCTGGTGGCTCAGGGTTACCGCACCGTACATGACGTCACACAGCTCGCATGGGAGGTACGTGTTGAAATCTTCTTACAAATATTATAAATGCGAATGTTTGGATGAATAGGATGCATTGTTTGAAGATATCTCTGGAACAGCTGAACGGATTTCGCTGAAATTTGACATAGACGTAGAACATAGTCTAGAAGAACACATGAGCTACTTGTTAAGTTTATTATTAAACCCGCGCGGACAGAGTCGCACGAGACAGCTTGTATGGAGTAAAATTAGATAAAATAACGTTTTTTTTTTTTTATATCACAAGGTGGCAAACGAGCGAGCGGCCACCTGAAATCGCTGAAATAGCGAAGTGACCGTTGCCCATGGACATACGCAATTGCATATGCGTTGCCTACCTTTAATCGCCAGAGGAGAGGATGCAGAGAAAGAAAATATTTTCCCTTTCCATGCATCCTCTCATCCGGAAAGTCCACTTCCACTTCCCATCCTTTCCTTATAAGAAAAAGGGTGGGAAGGGAAAAAGGACTAATTTTGGCCTCCGGGACGCACACTCATCAGACGAAACGCGGAATTGCTTCCACTTCACGCCTGTCTTCTGTGTGGTCGTGGTATTTCACCGGGCGAACCGGGCCAATTCGTGCGAAGATGTTAAAGCGGGCTCTACCACTGTTAAAACGTGTAGCTAACTTAATCTTCTTTGCTAGTTAATGACGAAATGTATAAAAAAGTGTAATTTGAGGATAAAGCATTTTTAAAAGTACGTTAACAGTTATGATAATTGATTCCAGGATTTAGAAGATATGGGTATAGTCCGACTCGGTCACCAGAAGAAAATACTCCTCGCCATCAAGAGAGTGAAGGACATCAGAGCCGGCAAGCGAAGCATCAGCAGCCAGGGCTCGCTCGACTTCACCAGGCTACAACCCGGACAGGTCGGTACTAACCGCCTCTTCTTACTTTACACTTGTTTGTAGTGATGTTTTAGAATTAGTCTCCTTATACAAACCCATTAATTTTTATTTCACCGAATAAACAGATTTTATAGTGTAGAAAATTAGAGATTTTAAGATTTCAGTTAAATAATAAAGCATCACTCCAATACAATTATTAATTTTAAAATAATTATATTTTTTTCTCACGTCATTCATCCGCCATCTTGAATTACCGCCAAAACATCTGTCATTTCTCCTTAATTCTCCTAACGAATTTAGTTTAACAGTTTTATTTCTTTTAACTTTTAGATAATAACATTCTATTGTTTCTGTTTAACTAACGGCGCCTAATTATATAACCAAATATTAATCAAATTAGCTTGAAACTTTCCTGAACGAACAATACACTTTCTTAGACGTACCCTCAGGCCACTGTAAGGCTTTAGTTGTTAGTTCGGTGTTTAAGAAATAAATAGCACATCTTGCTAAAAACTTTACTTTGCTGAACCATTAATAATGGACACATTGTGGGAAAATATAGTCTATAAGGACGAAATTGGCGCGAATCTAGTTCGCATTTACTACGTCTTCAAAAATTAAGTTTTCCCGATGGGTTCAAATCCGTTATCATTTCGCTTAGACTTTTAGAAGTCTACATCCATCGCCATTTCCATCGCTGATGATACAAAGCAACTCTGTGATACAAATTATAGATTTTTTTATAAACTATGGTCGGTTTTAATTTTAAATTGGTTTTGTAGTAAATCAGGGTAAGATTTAAATGTATTGTTATGTTATTCGCCGAGTTGCCACTATCAGCGTTCCACCAAATCCATCGCTGCATCCACCTCATCACTAGCCCGAAGCAGCATGTGAATGTTTTGTTTTCTTTTCTTTTTTCAAAAAACACCAAACCGCACATTGGACATTATCGGCTAAAGGATTTATATCCAAGAGAACTACATTACCAGCCGTGGGAGAGGCACGCGAGGAGTTACCATAAACCCCCCGATCTAAACTTTGACGCCATACCAACGCCCCTGAGTGCCACAGACTTGGTTCCTATCCAGGTATGAACAAACATCCTTTGGCACAAGTCTTGTCAGTTTGATCTCATTGCACCCGAGCACCCGGCTTTTACGTGCACCCCTTTTATTTTGTTTTTGTAATTGAGAACGCATTACTATCGATGTTTATGTCTGAATGAATTTCAATGTTCCACGTATCGAAATGTATTACTTGAATCCGTGAATTCGCTATGATAAACACTATTGCCTGCACGGTAGTTATTTCATTATTGTATTTATTACTTTTAAGTAACTATAAAAGCTTTTCAAAGCATGAATTTACTGACAAATGCTAACAACAAGTAAGACTAAATCTTAATAGAGCATTTTTAATAAAGCATGTCAAAGTATAACAGCAGAGATTTTTTTTAATTAATATGTAATGATTATTACTTGAAAATTTATTTCAAAAATTCTTAGGGCATTCTGTGTATTTTCTTGGCTACAAATTATAAAATGCCAATGAATAAAATCATATTAAACAATTCTTTGGTGTCAACAGATCCGTCATCCTCGCGGTAAATCCTTGGAAAGCTTAGAAGATCCTTCAGAAAGGACCTCGCACACGACATTTTCTCCCGAAGCGGGCTTCTACTACGGCGGTGGCCAGTGGAGGCGCTCCTACGACGATGGTGACATCACGCCCACCAACGACTGCTCGTACGAGGGAGGGGGTACTTTACCGCGTCCGAGGGGCTTAGTCCGTCCTCGACCGGTTGCGAAGATACAAGCGACGCCCGCGTACAGAGACAAGTCGCCGGACTACACGTACGATGAGATCGCGTACTCGGCTCGTTTACAGCGTGTGGCGTACGGCGCGAGTCCGCACGTCGCCAGGAAACCTCCACCCGAGCCCCCGAAGCGCCAGAGCTCTCAGTACGCGCCGTTCACTCGGTTCGGGCAGACGACTGTGGAGATTCACCCCGAGAAGAGTCTGCCGCTGAGCTTGCCGGCTTACCCCAGCTCTGACTCGCTGAGCGTCTCTCTAGACAGCACGGGCCTTCTCCCCCCGCCGCCCGCGCCCTCCTCCCCGCCGCGCAGGTACGACGATGACAACATCAGGACCGGCTCCGACGCCAGCTTTAAGGTAATTACAATTCAATTATTCCAGACCATACTTTTAACACTTATAAATCATAAACAATACCTGAGTTCTATGAAAACAATTCTATGGTAAAATAAAGGCGCATTATTTTATTTATAGTCAAGTTCGAGCACCGAATCGGACAGCATTCCGTTCGCGAATGAGAATGCGGGGACAATAAAGCAGAACCGAGGTCAAATCGGGGGCCGGCCGCATACCGTGGACTACGGCCGCACCGGCATCGGCCTCTCCACTCTCCCGCCGAGGTCCGCCGCTGATATGAAACCATCGACAACACACTCCCTCCCCGAGCACAAGGAGGAGGGCAAGAGCACGGAACCCGTTGACGTCCTCAACGACATCGGCAACATGCTCGCCAACCTAACGGACGAATTGGACGCCATGTTGGAAGAAGAGAAACGTCAAGGTCTGACTGATTCCTAAAATAAGCTTACTTTGGATTCGTGTTTAAATTTAAACAAATTAATGTTTCATTTCCAACTCGAATAGTTGAAATTTTAGTTTAGTATTCATGTATCGAAAACAATAAATTCCAAAGAATAGTACTATTAGTACAGTGAATTGTGGTCTATGATTTTAAAAATATTGTGAGAATATTCTATTATTTTATTTATGTACTTGATTAAAAAGTGACAATTGGACAACTTTTATAAGTGTATACAAATTTAATAATAAAGCCGTAAAATAAGTTCCGATAAATGAATTCTTGACATGAAACTACACTTACATTTTCTGTGAACATATTGTCAATGATGCTTTTCAATGCAGGGTTACTACAGTAGAGCTGACTATAGTCGTATAGACAAAGTAAAATGTAATAGAAATACTTGGGTTTTTAAATAACAAATTAAAATTTGCCAAATGTTGTTAAATGCCTACTTCGATTGTCACCTACCACTTATTTATCAGCAGCTGATTTGATATTTTTAATTAAATATCCGAACATATTACAGTGTTGCCAACATTGCAATTCGGATTTCTCTATGGTACATATAATTTTGACAAATGTGTTATTACTTTAAAATTAAAAAACGTTGTATCGGCTAATACAACCTAATCGTTAATAACATTTTTGTTGACATTTATTTAATACTAATTAGTTCCTTTAACTTTGTAACTGTTTTTTTTTCATTTGGGGGTTATGAAATGTTAGAATTTGTAAGGATCCGTAATATATGAGAATGGCTATTTTTGTAAATAAAGTTTTACTTAAATTATGTCATAGATAAAATATATCCAGTAGTTAGTTTTCCATGTACAATAAAATTAGGTTACATGTAGAATGGACTAGTTAGAATTTATACAAAATGATTAGTACTAGATATAGATTAAAATAGCAACTTCGATAAATGTATCATAGTCTTTTCATATGAAATAGATATATAGACCTCATGATAGACGTTGTATGTCGACCTTCTTGTAATATCTAAGGACGTGCTCATTGTCATCCCACTTAACATACATTGCTTATCTGTATTTAAAATTTATTATCTGTATAAAACATCCTATTTTAATGTTCCCTTCTAATATAAAAGACATTTGTACCACTAATTTCAGTCAAGCAAAATAATTTACTTAATATTTCAATTTCAAATACATACCTAATATTTTTAATTCATTGTTTATACGTTGTTACTATAAATATGTGTCCATCTTTCGATAATTTTCAAACGCATGTCAGCTTAGTATGTGATATCCAGTGGCCATAAAATAACAGCAATTATAATAAGTTTGGAAAAAACAAAGATCAATTTTTAGTTAACTTCGTTACCGAACATTTAACATTGCCATTGTAAACACAAAGTACAATAACTCCAATAATACCCACAGATAGTCTGCAACACTAGTGTAAAAAGTACCTACATTTTAATAACTATATAATGTAGTGTACTTATGAAATATTTTAAGCTTTATACTGTAAATATCTGTTAAAGAGATGAGTGTTTCTATGCAGTCTCCTTTGATACCTAACATTTCGTATTTAGAACTTTTGTATAACATGATTAAAAAAAACATAATTGTGCCGTCACTCATTTTCATTAAGATTGTTTTAATGTCGCTAGAATAGGAAGGTGCTAAACATGAAAAGGTAAGGCGAATTGTATATTTTACAACGTTGCAATAAAGAGGTCATTTTAAGAATATGTTTACTTTGGTTCTGAACTAGTCAAAATTTTCTTTTCGAGTGGCGGCTGGGGACAACGGTAAACTTGAAGTTTTATTATATTTTGCGTTAATATGTTAATGGCTGCTTAACATTTTCTTATTTTAGTTCAGTTCTTATATGAATAAAATATTTGTAATATTTGAAATGATTCTTATTTATTTATCCTAATTCCCTTATCCCAATTTAAATCTTAACATCTAGGAATAATAATCAAACATCGCAAACTTATCTAAATTAAAACTGTGTAGAATGGATAACATACGACCAGCAGTAATGTTAACCAAAGTCTCATCAGATGTAAAAATGATTATGTCTTTTTTAACTACAACCTAACTGATTACCCGATACTCAGGACGGACCATAGTACAGGAAGACGGACATAATAAGTTAATTAAAAAAGGCAATAAACTGCATAATGGCTTGCAGCAAGTTCAAAAAATATGCTAGTGTAGAAATCTGCACAGCATATCCGCATACAAGTATAAAAAATATCAGATTTTCGTTATATGCTAGGTGCATATTTTTGTCCGTCCAAATTATTTACCAACATAGACGTAGGAAAAGAATATTCTTAAAGTATTTTTTTCTATTTAATCATTAAATTTGGGAAACATTTTAGAGGCAATAGGCAAGCAATAAGCGGGAATCTAGTGGCATAGACAAACTTTTTGTAGATTCTGTCACGCTGGCACGCTGGTAACATCGCACTTAATATGATTGTAATTTTTAGTCTGTGCCAATTGTCATCGTTGTTACGAATTTCAAGTCGCCTTTTGCCTTGCGCGAGCGATCGATAACATAAATTGGGTAGATTCAGAGTTTGCGGAGGTCAGAGTTATTGATGGGCAAGGTTTGGCAGTGTAGTCATTAAAACGAAATTTTCATAGTGTAAAAATGGAATCTGCTGGTGCTTACGGGGGTGGAAAAGCGGGCGGAGCTTTCGATCCTCAAGCTTTCATCCAGCGACCTCCGGTAATAGTCAGGGCGGTATGCTGGGTAAGTGTTTTCAAAATCATTATCATCTGAAATGCATTACTTAACAAGAATCGCGCATCCAAAATTTAATCAAGCAGAATATACTCAAATATTTTAGGTAACGACCAAACAAATCAATAATCTACGATATATTGATATGCGTATTATATTGATTATTCTCAAACTGCTCATAATATAATGCAAAAAATACTTAAAAATATAAATTTTTGCTCCAATATGTTTTGAAATACGTAGTATCAATTGTGCATTTTCAATTACTTGGTTGACCTTGAGCAATATAATACATAATAGGTATTCATTTTGAAAGACTGCAATTAACATACATTTGTATTTGATTGCATATTACGACAGCGCCTAAAAAAAAAAAGAAAAAGTCGCTAAAACATATGTATCTACAATACTCAATCTAATTAAAGTAGGTTGTTAATGTAAATTAATTCTGTAAAATGAAGTATTATAAAATCTTAAAAAAAATTAAGTATTGAAGTTCTGGGTGTGGCAGTTGAATCTTTGCCAATATACATAAATTAAATTCAACTTTAAAATAGGTCACACTACCACATAATCTAGGTAACTTAAGTGTACACCTCAATTTTCTCAATTTAAAAAAAATTACCGGCAGGAGCATAGGTTCTGTAATATATATATTCAAATATATTGTATTATTCTTAATTACTTTCAATTAATATTGAAATTTTAAACAATTCAAAGGGATCTAGTTAGTTTGCATATGTGATAAGGCTATAGAATATAAATGAAGAAGCCATGACTTCATTCTGCATTAATTGTGTACACAAGATATGACTATATCTTTGTTTGCGTTTAACAGAAGCTATATTTTTAGTAACTGTATCATTTTGCACATAATTTTTTATCTTATACAAGATATATTGAAATGTAAAGTCTGACAAAAATTACAATATTTTTTATTAATCAAAATTAGTAAAACAAAGTAACTGTTAAAATAAATCTTATTAATAATGGGTGACTCAACTACAATTGAAGATCTGCAAATCAACACACAGTTTACATGTGTGATGTTGTTTTGGCTCGCCCCACACACAGTTATTATACATCACAATGAACTGTGAGATATCAATTTTGTTAAGCAACAGCTTAATGGTTCAAGACTTTGTTACAACTAATTTTTTACCAGTTCAGAGCTATTTTACAAATGTCTTATTCTTATCATTAATGCTTTCTAACAATTGTATATGGGTCATAACTTTTTCTCAGCTCTTCAGCGTGATTGTGATGGGTTGCATATCAGCTAAGGGGTGGTATGTCAACAAGGAAGATGGCAAGGAGTACTGTGTCTACAATAATGATACTAATGCATGCAACTACGGTGTTGGGATATCTGTGATAGCGTTTGTTGCATCCGTTGCATTCATAGCGGGAGAATATCTGTTTGAGCAGATGTCATCTGTGAAAACTAGAAAACATTACGTACTTGCTGACTTAGGCTTCTCAGGTATGTGGTTTAGAATTTTTTATAACATAGAGGTATTATTATTTTAATTTTACACATATATATGTATCCCTTCTTATGAAAAGGGTCACATCTCTTATGGGTCCGTTAAGCATGTAACTTATTTAATTGGATAGGTTGAAATGAGCTAATAAGTTAACCATTTAATATTAATATTAACAAATATTTCTAAAGCTAATTTTACTTTCTTACTAATATTATGAATGGGAATGTTTGGATGGATGTTTATTTTTATTATCTGATATAAGACAATTTCAAGTATATAAAATATATCTTATGTGTTTCGTAAATAATTTTTAAACTAATCTATTATATATTATTTCTTAATATCAATCAATCAAGAATTCTTCATATGAATTGCAAATTATCAATATTTTTAAAATTATGTCCAGTTACATAACTATTGTACATATTAAATGTTTCTAAGTGTACTAAAATAAATTTTAATTTATTTAAACTTGAATCTTTGTACCTATATTAACATGTTGACCCATTAACCTTTTAATAACGATTGTAACGGAGACCTGTCATAAGTACCGCACTCCCCATATATTGTACGTAATAAAATGTTTATTGGATCTTGACAAATGCCAACACTGTAAATCTATATTGTTGTGCCTTTTATTACATTTTTATCTTTATGTACAATTTGTAACATGTACTTTCTGTGATTTATGTAGTCATGATATAAGACAAAAAAATCCAGCTTGGTACTTTCACGCGTTCTTGAGTATAAGCGTCTTGACAGACAGACGGACGGACAACAAATTGATCCTATTAGGGTTCCGTTTTTTTTCCTTTCGAGGTACGGAACCCTCAAAATTGAGAGATAACGATTGAGTTTTGTAATGTGCTATTTTGACGAGGTTTACTAACATTTTCAATGCAAATATTTCGACCAGGAATATCTTGAATACATTGAATGTGTTTTATTTCCATTTACTCGTAATTTCAGTTACTATAAGACTTTTGTATTAGACATGCAGTTTGCAGTAAGAAATCATACCCATAGGTCACTGACATCTATAAATGGATAGGCAATTACTTGGAAATGGCAGATTTCGCTTCGTTCCTATTTTTATTTGTAGTACGCGGGTGTTTATGTTACGTGACAGTTAATTCTATGTATATTATTAGTTCGAATCTACACTACCCCTACAAACCGCTACCATCTGAGCCAAAATATCGAAAATCAAATAGGCACAAAATACTAGGCCTTATAGCCTGTCTATTTATAAAGGTCAGTGTCATAGCCTAAGAGTAAGATGGCGAGATCGCGCATGTTATCACGGAATATTCGTTTGTCATGTTTGATTAAGAATTATAACAAGGGTTGCACACTTCAGTCTTACGTAATCGTTAGCCGTGAGGTTATTTTTATGCAGTAATCCAAAGCCGGCTGGGAACCTAAATCATTTCTCATTGTCTTTTTTTACTTCTTACGCCTCTAGTTTTGTGTTATGTTTCCAATGATCGTTTTTTACTAGTTGAGAATTCTTAATGAAATAAATTTATCGGTCTGGATATTAAATTATAAGTCAGGTCTTAATATTTAATATCTATAAAAGAAGTATAATTTCATTTTACCCTATGGTTCAACCAAATTATATTTGAACATTGTCCTTTAATACCTCCTAAAGGTCAAGGTTGGTTTGCTTTAACATAATATTAGTAGGTACAAATAATTTCATACCGATTTCGAGAAATCGTATTGAGTTACATTAACGTTTATTTTGTTATGACCATTTCAGCGTTCTGGGCGTTCCTGTATTTCGTGGGCTTCTGCTACCTCTCCAACGCGTGGGGCAAGACCGACAACCCACCAGTGGGCACCGCCAACAACATGCAGGGCGCCATAGCTTTCTGCTTCTTCTCTATATTCGCTTGGGTGAGTTAGATTGCAAATTTTAATAAAGACAATGCCTCACTAAAACCTTCATCGTTGCGAAATAAATCTTAGGAGGTATATTTAATACTTGAGATCATAGATTTTTTAAATTTTTACTGTTTTCTCTATAACCTTGCTCGTACATTACTTCTTTGATATTGAACCTACAACTTATTTCGCGACAACGTACACCCACGCCGTGTCTTTCATGTACTCCAGGGGATTTTGAATCACTGGTGTGCACAGAAAATCAATTGTATACTTGTAGGTGGCATGCGCATTGTTCGCTCTGCAACGGTTCCGTATGGGTGCTGATGCGGCGTTCGCGCCGGCGTACGAAGTGGAGGGCGCCATCGGCAGCCCGGGCAGCTTCCCCGCGTACCCCGGCGCCCCCGACCCCCAGCCCGCATACAGCGACCCGCCCTTCACGCAGACTGGTCAGTATGACGGAACACTACTCTACACAAGTATACATGCATAATTATATATAATATACAAGTGTACACAATTATACAAAACGTACAATATTATACACATATATACAAACCAAATGTACACGAAGCAAAGCATTAGTTATATTAATGGTAAAGTCCGTAACGTCTTTAATTGTATGAATGACTATCTTTACTTGAAAAAGATCCTTAAAAGATAAATAAACTTACAATCCCTCTTGATTTGCATATATAACTCAAAAACTACTTG